TATTTATTTTTAAATTAGAAGTTTAGAACAATTTGGGCAATCAATATCACTTATCCGTTCCAATAACATGGATTATCTCATGTTAGAACTTTTTGTAATTAACAGTCTATCTTGTGTTCAACTTAAGGCTTAACGAATTGTAAGCAATTTTGTGCAGACATTGTTCCTTAAAGAAATATATGTGATTTTAATTGGCATCTAATATGAAAAAAGATCATTTGAGACATTCCAAAAAAAGGTTCGCAAAGTTATAAGGGACAAAGAGAGTTTGAGTTTTGACGGTGTTATCTTCCCACCTGAGCAAAGAAAGAAGGTCGGTGTGTGTTGAATATATGTTACACTAAAAGCAATGTGCTGCTTTCTCTCCTATGGAAATACAAAAAAGTTGTTTGTATCCACCCTTATACCCACTTTTGTACCCACCATGTTTGTGCAAAGTTTTATTTTTGTCTATGAATGCCGATCACAGACAAAATATGTCTCTGCAAATTATTTTGTCTGCGGATCGGATTCACAAAAAAAAAACCTTCACAGACACGGAGGATATAAGTTGGGTATAAGAGTGTGTACAACAAGAATGATTGATAGAAATATATACCTCGTATGTAATAAATTACTCCGTACTATGTCCTGATATATGTTACTTATTGCTACTACGGAGTACGGAGTATTATTTTATGAATTGTTTTATTGAATTGGGAAAGTATGGTCTCGCTTGGGTTTCATATTTTTGGATCCTCTTTCATGATAAAGGAATGTTTGCTACTCTATTATTTTGATTTCTATAAGTGTCAACATGTCAATTATTAAAAGTAATCAAGTCAATTCAAAATATTATACATATTTCCTCATGAAATTCATTGGGCACTAATGTAATCGTGCATCGCGCGTGTAAAAACTAGTTGATGTTCTATAAATGAAGTAATTTCGTTTGTAGCGATTATAATTTTGAAGTAGTGTTTTCTTAAATCGGTGGTATTATACTAGTAGTAAAGTATACAAAGTATATTTTATTTATTTATTTATAAGATGATAGTAATAATTATTTCTAAAATACTGGAGTAATTTCGTTTGTAGCTACTCCCTCCGTTCTTTAATATAAGTCCTCTTAGGCTTTGGCACGGGTTTTAAGAGGAAAATAGTAGGGGTAGTGTAAAAGGTGTAATGAGTAGTGGGTAAATGAAAAAGTAGGAAAGAGAAAGGGGTAATGGTAATAAAAGTGGGGGTATAAAGGTATATTTAAAGTAAAAACTTTCCTTAAATGGAAAGGAGGACAAATAAAAAAAAACGTCCCAAAAAGGAAAGAAGGACTTTTATTAAAGAACGGAGGGAGTAGTATAGTTTTAAAGTAATTTTTACTTGATTTGATGGTAGTAGACTAGTAGTAATGTATACGGAGTATATTTTATTTATTTGTAAGATTGTCAGTAATAATTTTATTTGTAAACATTAGCTTTTCTGTTGACTCATTTGTTTGTGGTTTTTTAATATTTATAAACTCCATATGTATTAGGTATTGTCATGAAAGACAAATGAAAGAATTGTGATATATAAAAAGAAAAGAACACATTGAGAAGAAATTTGGTTATAAAATCGTTCACTAGTGTTTATGCACCAGAATGTAAATCATTCCTCAAATTGATGTTGGCAATGATAATAGAAACGTTCTTTATGAGAATGAGAATAATGATTAAAATGAGAATGTGACCACTTAATTTTTGGTGATTTGAATGAGTTGAAATATTTGTTTTTCATTTTAATGACTTCTCTACAATACTATAAGCATGAATAATGTTAGGGGTATAACAGGCATAGAAAAAATGTTGGTGTCTCTTTGCGCATTAAAGCATTGTACGTCGTGCTTACTTCACCGCTCAATCTCAAGCAAAGGAGTGACGGGTTGACGGCACCTTCCGTTTACACAAGATGGTATTCTCCACGTCATCTCAGTTAATATCACCCCTGAGACCATCCAATATTTTCCGATCCTCTTCAGTTACTATGGATATGGTACGGCAGATGGATGGCTAACAACAGTTCACGTGAGCCTCCGACTGATCTTGATTCTGCGGCGACCGGTCGAGGGAAAGAAACTCCCACTGTTGTCAGATCTTGCAATTCTCCGTCAATTTTTTGTCCAGCTATGGGTTGCAGATAGAAAGAAGCATAAGGCTGGCGCAAAATATAGACCTAAAAGTCATGGCGTCCTGAACCCTGGTGAATCAAGATCTTGTAGTCATGTCTCTGTTCCGGGGTTATCTGTAAGTCATCTCTCAGGGGTTGCAGCAGAGAAATTTTCCTTCGATGATCTAAAACCAATATCAGACAACCGCCACCTAGCCAATCTGTGAGGGGTGTTCTGCAACCTTCATCACCTGAAGAGGTAGATGTTTCCGCACTCCCACTATGACTTTAATTTAAGCGTTGAGCATTTCTTGACATGAAATTCCTTGAAAACTAACTTGCTCCCCACCCCCCTCCTTTCAGTCCATGGTTGCTTGGTTGCTCATCTTCTTGCTAGATCCAACTTGCTGATTACTAGAGATACATAATGGGAAAATCTTGGTATTGGCTTTGAGCAAGTAAGCTCTTTAATTATTTGACAGATTTTCCCTTGTGTAATAAGGTTAGTTGGTTCACCACTGTATAGTTTTTAGAGTTGAAAACTGTACTGACTTTGCAAGCATGCTCTGGTTAATGCTTTTTATCTCATGAACTCTCTTTGTTTTGCTTCCTTGTAGACTCTACATATGCACTTTCACAGTAAATTAAGATAACAATAAATTTTATTCCTTTCAAATCTTAGCCCTCTTCTTCTTAATAGGAGAAGCACCAAGCACCATTTGAGTTTCTGGCATTCATACAAAAGTCAAATTGTTAGTGATATAGAGCTTTTGTATGCTGCATACATATGGTCTCTCAGTTTCTTGCATTCACACTAAAAGTAATAATGTTAGAGACTTACTGGCTTAGAGCTTTTATATGATGCTTGCTCATCATTTTGATGAAGAGTCAAATAAAATTTAGAAAAGAGAGGAGAATGTGATCAATCCAAGCCCTTGCGTACTTTTAAGAAACTTTCTCAATGTGCAGTGATGATTATACTGATCAATTTTTGTATAAGCTCCCCAGAATTGATCAACGAATTTGTTTGTTTTTTCAAATGTTTTTGCTAGAGTTCACCAACCATCCTGATAGTATTAACTATTAAGGGTTCTGCTAGAAAAGTATTTAGTGTTTGAGTCATGCCACTTCTTAACTTTCTCAAAATCCTCGAAACCCGAGGGAGTACCTTCTTGGATGGGGTCAAGTGATGTAATACCTGGATGTATCATGGATCATGGGGCAGATACCGGTTTCGACGAAATGTGCTCAAATACAGATTTAACCGGCTTTTGAAGGTCTCATGCGGCGGCGGCGGGGGGGGGGGGGGGTCATATATGCCTCATGATTAGGTGGCCGATGCTCATAATCAGGAATATATAAAAAGCCTTCATGTTTTCCAGCTTTTGATATGCTGAGTCTTTCCTCCACCGTTTATTGTTCTCCTCCGTGTTTTTTCTTTTTTATTCTGATGAGGTTGTAATAATTGGTAGTACCTCGTAATTGTAGGAAAACATGCCCAAATGATCTAACCCGTTAATTAGTTAATACTCAGTAACCAATTTTTCGAACGGCCCAAAATCAGGGCTGAGAGACTCGGTTTACTGAGTGATGCCACTACATTCTTTTTATTCAAAGCTCTTTGATCTAGGAGAGAATGCAAGATTCATCCTTACATTGGTCCATTTTTTAATAGGTGTGATGTGAATCCAAGTTTGTTGCTTAGGTGGGTATGTTATGTGTGTTATTTAAATTGTGTTGTATTTTTCTTTCATGACATGCTTAAGCTAAAACGTGTATGAGTCATTATTAAAATAATCATTGTTCTAATTATTATGCCTGTCAACTATGTATACAAATACTCCATGAGATCAGATTTTTAAATGATCATGCTTGTTTTCCATCTTTCCTTTACGTGTGTACTAAATTAATATATTGCGTCTTAAGGTGACATTAAACGATTTCAATTTTTTGGAAACCTTCCCGAACCACATTGTGAGGATCCAATTGTGCAACTGTGTTTCCTTTATATGAACTTCTTTATTAACTACGTTATAAAGAAAGTAGTTCAAAGAAAGTAGTTCAACACTAATTTTCTGTTTGAACCTCAGAAAGTTAAAGGATTATAAATTATGCAGCAAGGGTGACTTAAAGAATGAAATAAAGTGGTCAACCAAAGGCAATCAATTAAATCTGAGTCCTCTGTTATAACTGCATCGACCGGATTCATATTACTCATATATTCACTCAACCTAAACCGATGAATTAATGTTCCAACAATGGTTTTGGGCATTACCACGAACGCGCAACGCGCGTTACTGAACTAGTTTATATCATAAAAGTTCATTGATATAATTTGTTACTATTAATTGACTTTTTTGTCTGGGGTCTCTAAAGTGTTCAAGCCGCCCCTAAGAGCGATTAGTAGATCTTCTACAAAACACAAGATAAAAACTATCATTCTCTTCCAAAATTTGTCTAATATCATCGAGCCATGGGTAAGATGATTCCCTTTCTTTTAGAATTGCTCGGACCACCGATGAATTAATTTTTTTGATCAATGATTCCGATATGATTTTTTAATAAATAAAAAAATTACCATAAGTAAAGGAAAATCAACAGGTTGTGGTATTGGCCAATTGGGGCTGCGGCAGACGGCTAGACGCAGTATGATACAAAACTTTCTAAAAAAAACATTCTAATATGCCATATTTGACCGATCAGTCCTAACAAATATTTCCAAAAATGGAAAGGGTCAAACTTGTCTGTAGCTAGCTAAATCGGGGTGCTGGATTTGCCTCATTTGACCACACTATTCCTAGCTATTCATTCTCACTCAAATGAAATCCCAATCTATAAATACCACTCTTTCCCCGACTCCATTACCACAGCTTGCCATCATCTTCTATATAAGCAAAGCAGCTCAAATCAAAACCATATACATTCTTTAATTAATTTATATTATACACTTAGCTTCTAATTACGGTCTACTTTTCAATCTTTGTTAGTTCTTTCGCCTATTTTTTTCGTTACAAGGAGAAGAACTATTTTTTTCCAGCGAACGGGACAAAACTACGTCTAATGTAACTAAGCCCCGACCAGGCCGTATTAAAAAAACGTACCATGGCCACTCCATGTATTGTTCGACCAATTGTCAATTTCTCCCCTAGTCTATGAGGAGATCGCTTCTATTCATTCTCCATCGACAATCAGGTTTTTCTTCTTCCTTCTACATTTCGTATTTCGTATTATCAAACTGCTATATATTAAAGTTAATCCTATTTGAATCATATAGTGGATTAACATTGAATTACTAATTTATATACCAGATTGCACAAGGATATGAAAAAGAGATTGAAAATTTGAAGGACCAAACCAGGAATATGTTGTTTCATGCCTCAACAACTTGCAACACTGCTGAAATCCTCAAATTCATTGATGTCCTGGAACGACTGGGAATAGCATATCACTTTGAGAAAGAGATTGAAGATCAACTACACCTTATCTATACTGCCCAAGAAAAGGCAAATGATGATGAATTGGAAATTGCTGCTCTTAAGTTTCGCTTATTGAGGCAACATGGTTTCAAGATTTCCTCCGGTAATTACTTATTCACCCCTCTTTATGTTTGCATCTTCTTTTCTTTTTAGATAAGTTTTACTCATTCTTTATATTAGAAGCTTCTCTGATCTTAACTGACTTTAATTTCAATGATAATGCAGATGTTTTTAGTAGCTTTGTGGACACTAACAACAAATTCAAAGACACGTCCAATGTCAAGGATCTGTTAAGCTTGTACGAAGCCTCATTCATAAGACCTTTTAGAAGACGCCCTTTCTTTCGCAACCACTCGACTTCAAGGCGCGGCTTCACATATGCAATCCTCCACCACTCTAGAAAAACTTGTGTTGCACGCCCTCGAACAACCGCTGCACACAGGAATGCCAAGAATCGAAACACATTTTTTCATTTCAATCTATCAGCAAGCAGATGATTCACTCAGAAATGACATGTTGCTGCACTTTGCCAAGTTGGATTTTAATTTTCTCCAGATGTCAGGGGCGGAGCTATGCCCAGGGGTAGGGGGGCCATTGCCCCTCCCAACATTTTAAGTTTTTTATATTAGTATTATTTATTAGTAAAACTTTTGTACTAGCAACTAGCAAGCAATCAACGTTTGAGTATCTCGTTTTGGACTAAAAAGCTGCTAACAATGTTTATAGTGATAACCAAAACTCCAAAAGGATAACAACACGCCAACACCTAATTTGGACTAATAAAATTGTAATGACAGTTACAGTATGACTATAAAAAGTTCAATGAGTGTGTAAAATGTTATCAAATATTTCATTAAATTTTATCTTGTATAAATATTTTAACCCTCAAGTTTTGTTAATTTTGGTATGGTAGCAAAAACACTTTAATTATCTCCCAATTTCTTTATAGTTAATAAGAAAATCCACATTATCCCGTTGTGCCCACGCTAATTTAGAGGCATATATATTTAATTATTTTATCACAAAAATATACTACGTATTACATAGTATTAGATGTGATTGCGTCAACGAAGTGTAAACCTAAATAAATTCCAGGGCAGACATTATCGAAACTTTAAGGTAAATAACACACCAATATTTCTCCCCCCCTTTCGTCACATCCTGGCTCCGCCCTTGCCAGATGTTACACAAGCAAGAGCTCAGTGAAGTATCAAGGTAATATTAGTTACCTAGTTGTTACATTAAAATCTATGGATGTACATTTAATTTCTTATTCTATAGGCCTCATGTTCTTAGGTTCTAATTTCAGTTTCCTTATTGCACATGTGTAGGTGGTGGAAAGAATTGGACTTTGTGACAACACTTCCTTATGCGAGGGATAGAGCGGTTGAGTGCTTTTTTTGGGCACTTGGGGTGTATTTTGAGCCTCAATACTCTAAGGCTAGAGTTATGCTAGCTAAAAATATTTTAATGGTTTTGATTTTGGATGACACATATGATGCATATGGTACTATAGAAGAACTTGAAGTCTACACAGATGCTATATACAAGTAGCTTAATATATATACATTACGAGTATAATTTATCAAGTCTAAGAAGAATTAAAACATAGAATGATCTGATCTATAGCAAGATCCATATGAGTTACTGAATCTTATATACGTGCTTTGAAATACTAAGTTCATTTATTTCACATGTCATTAGGTGGGATATTAGTCAAATGGATAGGCTTCCAAATTATATGAAGATAAGCTACAAAGCTTTATTAGAACTTTTTGAAGCGGATGAAGCCGATCTCTCAAAGAGCGAAAGATCATATGCCGTTCACCATGGCAAGGAAAGAGTATGTATAATTCATTAGTTACCTCTTCTGTACTTGACAAATAAGGGGTGATTTTAACACGTACTTAATTTTTCAGTAAGCCTTGTATGGGAATGTTAATAATCTTTATCTACTTTTAAATAGATGAAGGAACTGGTGAGATGCTACTTTATTGAGGCAAAGTGGTTTATTGAAGGACATCAACCTCAATTTGTTGAATACTTGCACAATGCATTCGTTAGTTGCACATATTACTTGCTTGCGACTATATCCTGTTATGGCGTGAATTCAGCTGATGAGCAAGTGTTTGATTGGTTGATTAAAAATCAAAAGATACTCGAGGCTAGTGTAGCATTATGTAGAACTATCAACGACATAGCGACGTTTGATGTAAGTATTAAATTTTTTAAATAATTTTAATTTGGAGCATTGTTTGTGTTATTTCTTGAGCATTGTTTGTGTTATTAGCTTGAGCAAGGAAAATTAATATATATAACATTAATGATAATAAATGAAGAGAAAGAAGTTATAGCTAGAAAACCATTGGAGTACATTTTATATTTGTTGTAAATGTTTATGTGGCTAGTTAAGACATAAGGACAATTAGATAACTACTTGGAGATGGTTTAGATATGTACACTATTCATATTAATGGCATGGAGATCTTATTTTGGGTGGAAAGGTGGGGTGAGGGAAGGTTGAGTATTAATGAGACATTAATTAAAAGACTTTTTTCCGTCAGGAGAAGTCTCTTTGACTCTATATCTTGATTTTCTATGGAAAAATAAATCACCTTTGTAAAAAGCGTGTGAAATTAAAGTTCTAAATAAGTGGGAGCCCTTTAGAGGTGGGGCCCTAAGCATGTGCCAAGATGTTAAATGGTAAAATTATTATAGAACTCTAACACTAGGGCAACCCGTTATAATAGACTATTGGTGAAATTTTTGGGGTTATTTGGATTCCAGCGTTTTGTGCGCAACACGCTACTAATAGCAGCATTTTCTTTGTAAAAAATGGCGTTTTGCTCCACCCACCTATATTAAAATAACCCATTTGTGTGGCTTGTACGGTGGAAAAAACTAATATCCTTCCATTAGGTGCTTTCCATTTAAGGAACTCTTCAGCATAATGCATAGGGTGATTTCCCAAAAAAGGAGTACCTTGAAAGATATTTTTATTGTAGTAATACATTGTATTGAAAGATATTCCTATCCCTTTTTATTAAGTAGTTGATATTTTTGCAAACATTTGTTTTGGAACTCTTCAATTCTCTAGTTCTATTTGCCTTGCTCTTTGGATTTGAATTGTAAGTTGTAATACTGAAAAACAAATACATAGATACTCCATGTAAAACTAAATATAATTTGTACTAGTTGTGCAGTAAAATATAATTTCGAATATGTGTCGAAATCCAAATTTGTCCAAATTAAAATAAATCAGAACATATTAGACCAAATCAGATTAGACCAGATCAAATCAAACCAAATCAACTAGACTGACCCAAATTAAACTTAAATAGACCAAACCACACAAGACCAGAATATTATAATCCTTAAAAAACATTCTAAATTCCAAATCATTTTGCAATTCACCATTGATTTTCAGGTCATTGCAGCGTTTGTTGATCGAATTGGGAGTTTCTATGTCATCTCCATCAATAAAGTCATTCCCGTGTATGTTGATTATTATAACCAAAGACCAATTTTATAATTCTTGTTTATGAGATAGTCAAATTGAATTTCAGGTCACTTTAGCGTTTGTGTGGTCAATCTAGAGGATTCTCTAACCGGCCGGAGTCAGAAACTTTAAAACAAACGGGGTAATCTTGACTGAAAATTAACATCCAATGATGGCTGTACGAACGGGGTTCAAGTTGCCAGACTTCATTTCTCTTTCTTGCTTAATTTTTGCATTTTTGGAAATTATGCTTTGTAGGCATGAGCAGTCAATACAGGCAGTGTGTAGAAGAATAATGATATACTATCGTATTTAATTGAAGTATGAAGGAGTACAATCGATCATATATATACACACATATAGGCTATGTTAAAGGGATAGGAATACATATCAACTACTTACACAATAATAGGAGATAGAGTCTAGCTAATAACCACATGTGGAGATATGTACGTACAATAATGCATGTAGACACATAATAAATAATATGAATAGATTAATTATGTTCCTATACAGAGAACATGGGAATAGATGGTTATGTATATGGGTAGTGAACATAATATTTCATAGTGTTGTGGGCGTTTAATATGGGCATTGAACACTAGCAGCGAACATGACAATAAGTGTTTAGTATGTGCAGCGAACATAATATATATGGTACCAGACATGTTGTACATGACAGTGAATGAATGCATTAACAAATTTTGTTGTGCAGAGATATCATCATGAAATGCAATATACTTAATTAGACGTAAAATAATAAAATTATTAAATCTAAAACAACAAAAAATAAAAACTAAAAATAAATTTCTCAAGTGGATGAGAAGAGAATTAATTTTGGCGGAAATGCAGTGATTATTACCGGATGTGCAGTAAAGTCGTGCATTAATGTTGTGCAGTAACAACAATATATAGTGCATTTCAATATGGTCATTAAACATTTTAATATGAACGAATTTTTCTTTTTTCTGGATTTTCGATCATACAAAAGTCTAAAAACTAAGTTAGTCATATTTAGATAAACTCAACGAGTTTTAGTCATATCCTAGGAAATTTTCCTAAAGAGATAATATTCCAAGAGGCTTCAGACGACTCAATTCGTCAAAGAGGGACATCAGCCTATTAAAATAATCATCTATACTCATCCCCTTCAACTGCCGGCACCCAACAATATCTGCCCGTAACTGTTGAAGTTTCGGACCATTCACCACACAATACCTCTTCTCTAAGTAATCCTAAAGCGGTTTGGCTTCAACTTGGCAAGGTATTGTCGCTGCAAGTTTTCCATCAATGCTGCGGAGTATCCATGACACAATCATGAAGTTTACCGTCTCCCAGTTAAGCATCTTTCGAGGCTCGGTCGGCTTTTTTATTGTGCCATCCACAAACTCAAACTTTCTTCTTGTCTTCATATTTTAGAAATATTCATGAGTAAATTTTTATTTATCACCAAATTTGAGATGATGATTCATGTTTTGGTATGAAAATACAATAATGGATCACAAAAGTTATACAAATAACCTCAAAAACTAATTCCTTGATTACAATTTAATCGAGAAAACAAATTTTAAAAACATTTCAAATCATGGATATGAATTTTATTCATGTAGATAATTTATGCAATGATGTCATTTAACTTTGTAACTAAATGTCTCAAGGTAAAGATAAGATATGTTTATTAGTTCCAAGCCATACTCATTTTCCCATTTCTTACTGCACACATACAATTTTAGTAATATCACTATACTTGAAAACTCAAATTTCCAAAGATTAGCATGTGGATCATACTATATGTTCACTAATACTTATTCTACTTAATAAGATCACATTACCCTTAATAACTCAATCTAATGAAAAATAAATCGATCGCTACCAATCAAAATATGCAACCTGTTGACGCCGCCACACCTTCATTAAAACAGAAATGTTTTAAAACTATATATTCTAAATTATTTTCTTGAAGAAATAGATAGAATGACTGATTAGCAAAATTCTAAATCCTAGAAGAGCTAACATCTTAAAAAAATGACTATGCTCATTTTAGATAAATAAATTACATTAATAAAATAATGGCAAATGTTGCCCGGCATTTGCCCACCGACTTTGGTGGTTTTTCTTCTGGGTTAAAAAAAATAAAAAAAGATAAATAAATTACAAAATGTGTAGTTAGTTTTAAGAAAAAACAATAAACCACATACGATATTTAATGGGAAAAAAAGGCATTTGGCATTTTCTTTTTTGGTTTAGGTAAATATAGTTGAAAAGATTAATTTCATTTAAATGCAATTGAGAGTTATAAAAAATGTTCTTTTCATCGGAAATTATAGACT